CCCACGTGGAGATCCGCCAGGACGGGGACCAGTTCTACATCAAAACTTCCACCACTGTCCGCACCACTGAAATCAACTTCAAAATCGGGGAGAACTTTGAGGAGGAGACGGTCGATGGACGAAAGTGCAGGGTAGGAGGAGTGCTGGGGCGTGTGCCTGTGTGTGTCTGTCACCAGTTCTTTTTAGGTGGCACGAGCGCATCTGCTGCCCGTGTCCCTGACAGTGGCATTGCTGCCTTCCACCCTTTTCCTCACGGAAACACTGTTTGGGGGTTCTTAATGGTTGCCACTCCTTCGTCAGACATTCTCTCTCTTGCAGGGCAGAACTGAAATCTGAAGGCAACAGAGCATGGCAAGTCCCAAAGGCAGAGTTTGAGTACCACCTGCTTGTGGCTGGCAGGGTTTTGTCCGGCTCTTTTTGCTTCCCTCTTGCCTGGAGACTTCATGCTCTCCTCAGCCTCTGTCCCTGTCGGGAACATGGGCAATGATGGAGCAAGAGGGACCTCAAGAGTCAGGATTTCGTGCACAAACCTGACAGAACTTTTGTCTTACATTGAATCAGCTGAGTTCACAAGGAGGGGTGCAGATTGTTGGTAGTCTGGGGCTGAAATCCTCTTCCGTTCCATTGCAAGTGCATCCCTCTGGTTTGCTGATCAGATAAGTCTTTAGCAGTGTAAGACAGATTTTCAGCTAGTGTTATACCAGCCGTAATTACACCATCTCCTTGTGCAGAAGTGCATTGGAGGGCATTCACTGGAGTGTCTTGGGCTTGATTCTATGTGTTAGCCCCCGCTCCTCTACCTTAGTAACCACTTCTGTGGCCGTGGAGGGGGCTTTAGGTGGACATCATCTGACACCCGCTTCTTGGTGGTGTAAATACAAGGGGTCTGGGGTATGGGAGAACTGGGCTGTGATCATTGCTGCCTTTGGAAAAAAGTTATCAAAGGCACGGGTTAGTTATCCTTTCTTCAGGCACTTTACTCTTATAAGAGAAGTGTATATAAAACACTTACAAAAGAAGTCTGAAGAAAGAGTATCAGGATGTTGTCCCAAGTGAGAATACAATTTTAAAAGTATATGATAGTGTAATAAACTCCTTTCCAAAATATGATATCTGCTAATTCTTGGGACGGCTTCTGAGACCATTTACACCACTAAAAATTCAAACCTTACTATCGGCGGTGCAATTGCTGTGAATTTAAAATTATGAAAACGGGAGGCAAATTCTGGGAGTCAGGGAACACTTAGAACACCCACTTGATCTCTAGGATGAGTTATCATGTATTTAATAGTTTGTTCAGGAAATGTTGCTGGCTTTGTTAATTTATCTTGTTTGGCAAAAGTAGTGATTTAGCGTCTTCATGCATAATGCATATACGATAAATGTGACCCGCTTTCTAGAGAAGGATTTATTGCTGCAGATCGAAAAACAGTAATTATGGCTGTAAGCTATAAAAGTTGGAAAAATCTGAAAGAAAGACGTTTTGTGAAGTACTAAATTTTTTCCATGTGTTGTGCAATTATTTATAGCCCACTCTCAGGAATAAGTTGTACTGCTGTGTGTATATAACCAAGATGTGGCCACAGAGCAGAAACCAACAGATAATAAAATAATACTTCAGAATGTAATTTGCAGTATCTGGCAAAACTGCTGATAGATTTTGGTACACTTTATGGGGTGGAGGGTTTTGTTCTGCCAACTAACTTCATCCATTGTTCATACAGACAAAGAGCAAGTCGTATGTAGCTCTACTGCAAGGCATAGCTTCTATAACTGCCATTTGAGATGGATTGTTGGCTTAAAAAAACCTATTGTTTCGAAAAAAATATTTAGAATGTAACCAGCTAATTTTAAATCAAAATAAAGTGTTTGGGTTTTTTCTTGGGAAGTCTGGGAAGTATTGAGTTTATGCGTACATATGCACATATGTATATATGTATGTATATAATCACAGACTAATGAATGTCTCCCATGTGCTAGTTATAAAGCGATTACTTGCACATTCATTACAGGGCATCCTTCTGCACAGCTGTTCCATTGCACTGTAGAATAATAGTTTAGTGCTAGAATAAAAAGGAACAGAGTTAAGGCTTGCCTGTTTGTGAAAGCTAAACAAAATCCTATGGATTTTTTCCTAATCACTTTTAATTTATTTTAATATTAATATTTATATATTTAGATTTGTTTACATTAATATTTGGATTTAATATTTATTTTTTATTTTTAACTTTATTTATTTTAATTTATTTTTTAGTCATTACTGAAATGCTTCAAAAAATACCAAAGTGTATTTCGATCCCCAGACCCACAACTTTAGAAAAGTAATATCGCAAACACTAGAATGTAACAAAGTGTCTTTAATTTAGCTGTGATTTATTCTAGTTTGCTAGCACAGTAAGTGTTTAATATATAGTTAACTTGGCACAGTGCCATATAGCATGAAAGGCTGTAAGTGACAAATACCGCATGATTTATGACCACAACATCATACATAGGACTCTTTATGCTTATACACTAAGGGGACTCTGTGGTGATAAATAACATGTCAGATCAAGCCACATGTGTACAAAGATGCTTGGGAATGTAAACACTAGTATATTGCCACATTTCTAAATTATACTTTTCAACATCAAGCACTTAATGAGTTGGAAACAAGTGCAGACTTACACTGAAAAGACACTTTTGCAATTACTTTGTTACTAAGATATACCTGTTTCCAAAATGCCCCTTTGCCTTTATCTATCGATGTGTTGCTCCTTTCCTGCAGCAATTATTCTCACTACTGCTCATTGTTGTCTCTCCGCCTCATGCTGCTGGGGAATATAATTAATGTTATTCCTAATGGTTTTCTTGCCTGCAGAGTTTGGCCACTTGGGAGAATGAAAACAAGATCTATTGCAAACAAACTCTTATTGAGGGAGATGGCCCCAAAACATACTGGACTCGAGAATTAGCTAATGACGAGCTGATTTTGGTAAGAACCTTGAACCCACCCGATACATGCACCATATTAACCGGTTTTTGTTACCATGTAGTATGACTCACTATTTTTCCTTATTTATCCATATGGAAAACTACCATTTTCGTAGTCCTCTAGAGTACAATTCGTACGTCACTTTTTTTTCCCCTTCCTTTTTGAACGTTTTGGTTTTTTTTCTTAAGAACAAATGAAGGTATATTCAGGTTCTCACTTGCATTGTATCGCTATAACTTTTGCCATACTTTTACTGGTAGAGTAATCACAAGTAGACCACTTCTGCTCTGTGAATTTACAACACCATCAAAGAATTTGCTTGATTTATTGCACATTTTCTCTGGTGAAAACCAGATCAAGGCATTTGACCTCGTTTCTGGAGAGCCTTCTTTTTTAGGCATGTGCATAATATGTTGCTGCTTATCCACCATCACATGGTGTATAGTAGGAAAGACGCAGCATGTTGTTATCATACTCTAATCTCATTCCGTTTATGAAGAAAGTGTAATTCCTCCCCCATCTATGCCACCAATTCTTTGATCACTTCTGAATCCAGTTCAGAATTGCCTTCTCAGAAATACACCGATTTGCACGTTCGCTCTCACCTAACATCCCCCCGCTCCTGTGTGTCCTTCCCTACGGCAGCAGGGTTACTGCAGGCGTTCTGAGCAGCTCCTCTGCAACAGCCTCACCGTTTACACGATGATTCATGTGCAGTTTATTTATTTATATTGTAACTATTTCTGTGGAGTTGAGTTCTCTTCACTGAATCTTTCTTCAGTAGTCGCTCTACATTAAGGAAATTATATCCAGAACCGGATAAAGACAGTTTCTCCAAGTTACAAGCTGCATAGCTCAGCTGGAGTTCAGAATCATTTTATTGCACATGCTGTTACTAGTGAATTCCGGAGAAATAGTTGATTAGACTGTTACGCCTCATCAGTTTGGGCATGGAAGACAGGCTGCTGGAGTGACGGGTAAGAAAACATCAAAGCAGGGAGGTTTTATTTCACATTATCACACTAACTAAACCTCTGCACTTTAAAAAACAAACAGCCTCCCCAGTGTTTCTCTAAAGCAGTTGGAGCTCTGTTTTTACGACTGACTCTAAACCAAAACCAAGACTCAAACATAACCATGTATAAACATAAAGCTTTTAAGGTGTTAATATTATTCCAGACATTTTGGAACTGTTCACCCACCCCTTACAAGGACGTGTGTGCTGTTAGTGAAATCCCATTGAAATGAATACTCCAATTCTGGATATTTTCTTTTGACTCAAACACTGAAATTTTTTATATTATCAAAAATCTTGAGGAGGCTAAGTACTTTGGTCTCTGTTTCATATCTTTAATGCAGTAGACAAAATATATTCTCAACTCTAATTTTTCCAGCTTTCTAAGAACACATTTCTGTAGTTTTGTCAGCTGAGCAATAAACTAGTGAGGCAGCTGTTAAACAAAGTGAACTGATCCAAGAAAAGCAAGAAAGCCAGTCATAATACAATTGCCTTCTGCAATCAACTATGTGACCTTACCCTGCTGGGGAAGAAGAATGAGGTTGGTTAAGAAACCTGAGCCATTTGAAGATTATAAAGCCTTTTTTTCTTGTATAATACAGTCTGTTGAGCTTTTCTTAATTAATTACATTTTAGATTAGGATATAAATTACAAAAATTTCCTTCTTATTAAAATACTTCCATTTATAGGAACTCAATTACAACTTTTGATAGTTGTTTTAGGGATTAATTTCCCTGCTATTAAAATGTACACATTATTTCTAATCTGTTTATGTCTAGATTGAACTTCAAGTCATCATATATTCTGTATAAAAGGCATATTAAATAATATGCCTGAAGTTTGTTATTGCAAATGCTTCTCTTAACCACCTCTTGGAAGACCCTTCTTGTTAAGCTAAACCATTGGGAGAACTTGAGCCCTTCAATATAAAGCAAGCTCCACTGGAATCATTCCTTCAGTGCTTCTAACCCTCTCCAATTTATCCATTTCCTTTCTGAACTATGAACACCAGACTGAAAATAACGTTTTGCTGGCAATCCCACTAGCACCTGATGTAGTGGTGACTTCACTCTCCCTACTCTTACCTGAAATTACTCTGATTTATATGCAAAGACTTTGTTGAATCTTCTTCAGGGGCTTATGCTCTGCCGATCATGATCCCAAGTAATTTTCCTGGTTTCTGATCCCCAAGACCCTTCCCCTCTCTGACAAACTGGGACTACACTCATTGGTTGTAACGTACAATTTTAGCATGGCCATTATGAAAACCTAGTGTTTGCTTCCAAGTGATCCAGGTAACTCTCTCTGTCTTCTATATTTAATATGATAGGCAGTTCCATTCTCTTACCTCTTCTCTGGAGCATAATAGCCTCTTTTGCTTTCTTAAATAGTACGATATTACTTGATCCTCAGGACAAAAGATTTTCAAGCCCCTCAGGACATTTGAGGGGACTGAATATACAAATCTTTTAAATACATGGGTCAACATGTAACACCCTAAAGCTCTGCAGTGGGGTATTTCAAGGAGTAGTGGTGGTGAGTGTGAGGTCTCTGGTCCTTTGGAGAAGTTAGGATGGCCAAAATTAACCCTTCTGGGAGGCAGCAAAGGGTTCTACTCTTTGGAGGGAGACAGAAGAGGGTAAGGGAGGCTATCATCTTCTCTGCAGCCCCTAATTTTAAAACCCCAGAATGTTCCCTCCAGACCATTATTTGGGCTTTAAAAGCTAAACGACCTGAAGGGATTGACTGAGGTATGTTCCTCAACTATAACATGGAACAAAGTAGGAATCGGAGCTCTTAGTGAGAAGACCCTGTGATCCCTTTTCATCTCTTGCCTCTCAACTGTGTTTGGGTTTTTCATCACTCCAGTGAAGAAAGATTCAGCTTAGATTATTCTATTTTATGCTTGGAAATTTTCCTTGGATCTGAGTCTGCAAATCCCCGCTTATATCTTACTTCTTCATAACTAAGATCACAGTGAGAAGAAGAGATCTTTCTTTTCCTTCCCCTTTGTTTTTTCTTCCATCCTCCCAGTTACAGTTCTTTAGGACCTGAAATCCATTCTCATTCAGTTTTGCTGCCCAGATGACTTCATTTATCAGTTCCCATCTTCACACTTCCCAAACCTCCCGACTTACTTAAGAAATATTTTCTCTTCCTTTACTCTTTCTGATGTACTTTCCTTATTTTCATTCTGGCAGAGAGCCTTAAATAAGCAGAAGGAAACCATTCTTGTGAACTTCTAGTTGTCTGCAGTTGGGAAGCTGTCTTTATGGGCTAGAGCAGTTTAGGAACTCCATGAGGCTGATACTTCTTCTCACACTCTACTCCTGTTTCTCCGTCCAAAGAAATCTTACAAGAAGCCTTGAGTATCGTTCTTAGCTATTACATGTATTTGCAGAAGAAATCAAGAAAACTCATACCCCATTTGGAATAAGTTGCAAGAAGGAATCTAAACTGTGTTAGACTGAGGCGTGAATTGAAAAAAGGCAGGGGGTAAGGAATGAGTTTACTCTGCTAGTACTAGCTGCATAAATGTTGGAGCTCTGCCACATAATTTTGGTCTAATGCCGCATTGCTTAGGGGGTCCATTTGATTATGATGTTTTCCTAGGGGAAGGATACATTTTTCTCCCCAACACAGCACGTTAAATATAATGTATTTATTATCGGATATAATTAAAAAAAAAAAATCAGTGTTGAATTGTCATGACTACTATAGGGCTAAAATAGAACCCATATTATTGTATAATTATCGATCTTTTTTGCATCCTAGCAGAAGAATTCCTTATATTCTTCAAACATATTCCCTTGGAGCAATATGATGTTCTTCCCTGTCTCATCATGTCCTCTGGTACACAGATGCTGGGAACCAACTATTTAGTTAGGAAAGGTTTTCTTTACCTTCAGGTACCAGTTGAGTTTGCCTTTAGTTCTCCTTCACTGCTTGCAGCGTGGAGAATGAGATAATTTTTATTAGTAGCATAAATAATATTTGGTTCATACAAAGTCAGATGTACATCTAAAGCCATGTTAGAAAAAAGAGTCCTTTCAGCTGAGCAAGAGAAGGATCAAGCTCTGCTTTATAAAAAAAAGGTGCCGCGAATGTGCTAGAACATTGCAACTACTTTTATTGGTGCTGTTTATTCTCATTTGATGAACTTACTGGGATTTCAGTGCTACCTTTTTAGAGGTACTGAACAATGGATAATATTTACATGGAAAGTGTAAGCAAGGGAGGGCGAAAAGGACAGGTCCCCATCAAAGTTCACATTTGTATGTCTTGACTGTGTCTTTAGACTATAGATTATACTTTAAGACTATAGTGCACAGAGAGTCAGAATATCTGTATTTACAACTCCACTTGGATTAGCACGAGCGATAACGATTGGAACATAACACAAGAAATATATATTTCCTTGACTTGTCTGAAATTAAGATCTGGGATTAAGTCTATTTTAATATGCTTTTTCTTCCCATTTCTTTTATACTCTGTAATGTTATTGCTGTTGCTGTGTGTTTTTGTCAGGGATGTTAATGAGCTATCAGTCACTTTTGTAAATCAGAAGAACAAAAGGGCTGCTCTTTAGAAAGTTAAAAGATGCAACTTCCAAATGTTAGGTGTTCAAATGAGAAATGTTTATATTCAGACTTTATCTGCATTGCTGCTTTCATGGCTGCTCATGCCTCTAGATTATAGCTTAATCGGTAACACACAAACATTTTAAGTGGATGATTACTGAAGAGGGGCTTTAAAAACAGCCTCAGACCACATTTTACACAGTTCACGTATCACACAGGGGTTCTCAGAATCAATTATAGCAAGGGTCAAAGATCAGAACATTAGGGGGGTTTCAAGCATGGTTTCTATTCTCCATTCCCTCCCCAGAAAAATCATGCCATACTTCATTAAAACTGGTGAACTGTGGGGCCTAGATGAGTGAGTGAACATTTTTTAAATTATAGTGCTGGCTTTTAAAATTAAACATAGTAGCTGAGAAGGATCAGTGCAGATTTGGAAAAATAATTTGCAGCCAAATGCTGAGATTTGGGATGTGCCTATGCCTTGTGCTGAACAATGTTAAACTACCTAAGTTTTTAACTTTTCTGTAGTTTTTGGAGAGTGATCTTAAATAAAATCAGTCATCAAAAGGAGGGTGTACTCCTACTGAGGTCAGTGGGGGGGGTTGCTGTTGACCTCATTATAGCAGGCTTGGTAAAAGTTCAGAAGCCTGTAATAATGCATAGGTATGTGTTGCATGGGCTCATGCCTTAATTTACTATTTGCCATGAGCAGATTTAAAGGGGGCTTAGAGATCTGCAGCCTCTGCTCGCCAGTACAGCCTGCGCCGAGTCACATCCCAAATACACAGGCAGAGAAAGAGGCCAAAGCCATTTGCATCTTGGGTGCATCTGACCCTGTATGTCACCTTCTGTGTGGCTGCATAGGTGCTGGCTGTGTGCTGGCTTTCCGAGATAGCACCGCCTCGTGTTCTTACCTCTGTCACTGTCTGCTGCACGACTTGAGCAGTTCTCAAGCGCAAATGCCAGCATTTAGGTACTTTGCTTCATTTAAGCAATTTCTCTTCTCTCTCTTGTTTGCTGATGTATTCTGTCTTCGTTTTACAAGTTGCCTCTTCGGGGCTGGTCAGTCACGAGCAGATAACGGGATGTTTGCATATGCTGGCTGAAGTGATTTTTCCCAGGTGATTGTTTCAGTGACAGTCTTCCTAATGGTACTGTGTGCTCCGCTGATCACAAAGGCTCCTCAGCATGTTTATAAACATGTTTATAAAGAAGGCCTTCAAAAAGCAGATTTACTCATACAGTAATATATTACTGCCCTGTAATTCTCTTTTAATCTCTAGTGATGTCAGTGGTCATCAGATTTTGAGTGAACTGAGAGAGGTCAATTTATTGGATTATCCCTTTGTGCAGGGCTTTGTTTGCAGTGTGCTTTTGGACGCTTAGCTACAGATTATGACAAGCCAAGTGAAGAAAACAATTCTGTAATTTGCAGTCATTGCACATTTAAAATCCTATTTTAGATTCAGATAGAAGCCTTGCCTTGTAGTGTTTTGTGAGGTAAATGCGACCTTTGAAAGCTGCTGGGAAGGGGATGTTTGAAAATCTCACATCTTCTCATTACATGTGAATTGCAGTTTGGTAGCATTGCATTTTTATTTTTCTTTTTAAGTGGCTCTCGTGAAATTTCACCACCAAATAGCCAGGATTGCTCGCTCTCTTTCTTTTGTTAGGAAGTTCTAATCCTTTGGGTCATGGAAATCTTTACAGTCTGCTTGTTCTGACAGGAAATATCACTTCTTTTTGATTTAGAATTAGAACCATAGACACTGAACTGCTTCATCCTACCCCTGAATACAAGGATTTAAGTGTGAAGGATAGAGGAGCAACATCCTTTTGATTTGAGTCTTCCCCTGAGCTTGCACCCAGCTGTATGTTAGACGTTTCTGTGAGTAACCACAAGAAAAGGAACGTAGCAAGTTTCAACACCTTCCTCTTCACTTTGTTTAGCCACATTTACTGGAGTTTTATCAACAATGCTAGTAAATTACAATAAGCTAGGGAAATACCTTTTACGTAAGTACATGACAATCAAAGCCATTTATTTATGTGCTTCAGGAGGGAATTAGGTTGCTAATCATCTGAATGAGTATAAGGTATAAATTCTAAGTGCTAAAAAATGCAGCTTATTCCTGAAACAGGTCAGAGGCCACATAACCCAAGGTGGGTCTTCAAGGAAAGGATGCGTGGCTGTTTAAGAAGTGCTCACTGGCTACATGATACTCCAGAGTAATTGCAATGGGGCTTTGCATTAATTTTATCTCTTTATGATCTAGATTTAAATGCACAATTGTATTAAATTATAGTGGTTTTCCAGTCTGTGAGACTCATGCGTCGCACAGAGTGATGATCCTTGTGTATAGCAACTGAGTAAGGCTCCTAAGTATTTGGATTCCACGGGTGTGCCCATGTTTTCTGCACTTAATTTTTATCCTGACAGAACAATTTGAGTACAGTCCTTTGCCTGAGGTTTTCAAGCATCCACAAGTTCAGCTGGCACTGGGTGCTGGAAGTACAAAAAGAACAGCCATGGTGCTTTGTCATAAGCATGTCAAGTTGTGACTCTGAGTGCACAAAGTCAGTCTCTGCGTACATGCTGTGGACTTGCTGCCTCTGCAGTGCTTTCTGGATGCCCCCATAATACTGAGCTTTCCCAGAAAGTTACTATTTGTTTTTTCTTCCTTCACAAACTTTTATTTTCATGCTCCCACCTGTGGGTCTTGCAAGGAAGTTGCCAGACAGACTGCACTGATGTCTTAGGAGCAAGCGCAGTCTCAGAACTGGACACTAGAATTTCAGGCACTCAGACCTACAGCGGCACCCTAGGACAGACTTGCAGTATGGGTCACATCTCTTTCAATCTGCTCTTCTCTGCAGTGTTTCTTCTCAGTGTAACTGCTGACCTGTTGGGAGAGTAACTGCTGTTACACAGGTTTAGGGGAAGGAGTTTGGCTCTTAATTTCCCTGAAAGAATAGACATTAATTTACTGGGGAGGTTATAAGAGTTTTGGCAAACTGCTGCTGCAGCCCTTCTCGTTAGAACTGGCTGATGTGGCACCCACTCACCTTACAAGATGTGGCTGCCTAAGCTATGCAGCTCCAGCTGTCACACTGGGGCTGTGTCAGCTCCTGAAGAACACTGCACAAAGACCGTTTTACTATTATTTATGATTTGTGTTGAAATAGCAGCAGGGGACCCAAACTCACACATGCGTAGTGCCTGAAGGTACCATAGAATGACAATCACTATTAGAGTGACCTTCCAGTCTCTACAGACGACCTCAAGCCCTGGATAGTCTTGGCTCTGACTTGCTTTCTCTGGCAAAGCTCTTGCTGAAATAATTTCACCTTTGTGTGTAATTCTGGCAATCTTGAGGGAAGCCATAGAAAGGGTATTGGCAGCTGGTGCTGTGGGCAGTAGAGAACTATCTTCATCCATTATCACTCATCTTCAGACATCTTCATGTATAAGCTAAAAATTTATATAAAGTTTGATATGGTAAGCTCTTTATATGCATAAAAACAAAGCCTGTATCTCCAAAATACTAACAGACTTTTCTCCTCAGTAAAGTGAACAAAGTATAAGCCAGAGTCAGTTTTAAAGCCAAGTCCTTTCAAAGAGGTGTTGGCCAAAACAGGTGTAGAAGGCATTAAAACAAATGAAGGCCAGCTGAATTTTTGTTTCACACTGAGGTAGGTCTTAATTATACTTTTCAGTGAGACCCTGGCAGTTATTACAGCCAAATATCCCACCTCACAACGTGTTAGTGGTGAACTCGAAACTGCCAGTGTAGCTGAACATGAAGTTTTTTGCAGTTGGTATTTCCTTACTCTTCCACCGATTATTTCCTTCAGATTTTAGCCTGCCAGACCTGAAATTGCATTCAAACGCTTTGGGGTTTAGGTGGGTTTCTCAAACAGCTGCCACAGTCACTGTCCTGCCTAAATGTCGGGGTAATCTGCACTGCAGTATTGCTGTGGTAGAATTGGTTTTTAAGTGCAGAACTCCAGGGTGGTTTAATGTTTCAGTTAGTGGTGTACCATCTTATAACACCAGCTCTAACTATCTGGAAAATCAAGGTACTCTGGATTACTGAATCTGGTATAAGGCATGGGATGGTCATGAGACACAGTCTGTGGTAAGTCGGTGACTTTCGGATGTGTATTGTGAGATCTCCTAGATGTTTAGTCATGTGAAATGAGTTCGATCTCCACTACATTCTTCTCCATTATGTGCTCTCATTTCAGACTCTTGTCACAGTTATCGAATTCACTGGTTAAGGTCACAGTACCCTGAAGGAAGGGTGACGATTAACACTGCCCATGTCACAGCTTGGGAGAGAGGGTTTTGGTTTCCTAGCACGGTGTGTCAACATCTTGCAGCAGCATTACGCTTGCAGGTTATAGGTGTACATTCTCCCGGTCTTCAGCATTGCTGCACTGACTTCGTTTGAACTACTCTCATTTATACCCGCAAATATCAAAGAATAGCTTTTGAACATGCCGTTTGAATTCCACCCTCAGCATTTCCAGTTCAAAGAACTGCAACTGTTACTAAATATAACAACAGTACATTCCAAATTCTCTTTCTTTTCTCATGTTTATTTATAAATGCATGCCAAGAAACTATAGAAAAAGGGAATTTCTGGGGCATTTATCATTCTGACAAAATTCATCGTGCCTTGGAAAAAAGGGCACTTACGCTGCATTCCTCTTCCAAAATGACTCTACTCTCATCTTTTGAAAGACAGAGGAAAATTTATTTCTGCTGTACAACTAGCTGCTATAGTAAAAATAACCTTAAAAAATGGTGTTTAATGTTTACTGATTCCATCTCTTCTGACTGATTTCTATTTCTTTTCCAGACCTTTGGTGCTGATGATGTTGTGTGCACAAGAATTTATGTAAGAGAGTAAATACATCAATTTACTTCTCATCTGGGATGAAGTGGAGAACTGTGAAAATCCCCAACATAATGAGTATCTGTGTGTGCTGTTACCAATGCAGTGTTGTATGTGACCATGTGTGTTATATCCGAACCCATATCCTCCATTAAGTGTATTTTGCTTTCATTTTTCATCGCAGACACTATTCCTTCCCACTTTTACACCATCATTTTTCGTGTCTGCTTTGTATTTTGTAGTTGTCACTTGCTATGGTTTCATCAATTATTAAACTTATTGGGCATAACTCACAGCCGTTTTGGGGTGTTTTTAATAGAAAACCCAGGAGTGCTTTAGTTAGGACTGAAACGGTTTTTTTACCCTCTGTTGAAGGCAGTTTCGCTGCTGTTGGCTAGCACTGTGCTGGCAGGGAACACCTCCTAGGGCAACATAAAGCACAGGAGAGCAAGTTTCAAGGCTGTTCGTGGAGCTGCCGGCTGCTCTCTCAAATGCAGAGCTCTGCTCCTTTCCTTCCTTTTGTTGTGCCTTCTTGGGAGACTTGTTGAGGAACGACTCCTATATCCTGTGATTGCTGGGACTGCGATTCAGCAGAACCAGACAAGGAGAGATCTCTACCCTCTTTCTTGCAGTGCCTCTGAAGAACGCCCAAACTTTCCCTGTTGAGACGCTCGTTAGCCAAGTACAAAACCCAGCTGTATCCACAGGACAAATAACGTGGTGATCGTGACTAATACTTAGTGTGATCACACCCAAGCACCTCAGACCTGACCAGAGAGCCAGCAGAATCTGACAGACTTTCCTTGTTCAGGCCATAAAAAGATAAAGCTGAGGAATGCTTCTTCACTCCTCATCGGCGATAGAGAGAACTTCCAATGGCTTCACTCTGCCTCAGTGTTACAGTTCTCCCTTTTGGTGACTCAATATTTCATTCTTTGAACAACTAAGTATTTCACAAACCAGAGCCATAGTTCAAGAATGAAAACCCACCAAATTTAAGATATTTATTGTGGCTCAGAATTCTGGCCATAGCACTATCAAGTGTTAGATTCAAGCCGAACAGACATTCCACTAATGAACCAGAAAATCCTCTGTTCTTTAGCCTTGTTCTTTAGTCTCAATCTGAAGATTGAGACTAGCAGCACTACTTTCTTCGGTGCAAGCTTATCTCACCAGCTTTCATCATTGCAGGAGTAATTTAGCTGCTTCATGCCACCCAATCATAGAAGATTTTTAAGAAGTTTGGTGCTAGCAGACTATATGCTCTGTGTGCTGGACTGTGCTCAATATTCGGAATGGAAAAATAGGTCCAAATCTCGATTGCCTTGGGACACCTGTAGGAAACAAATTACTTTACCTCTTCATAACTCGCGTAGCTATGCAGAGGAATCCCCTTTGATAGGATTATCAAACTGCTCTGGAGAAATCGGCCACCTGTTCTATATTGCAGTGTGAGCTACAGCAGCACAACAGGAGAGAAACATGCAATGTTTGCTGTCCTCTGATAGGTCACACTTCCTTTCTCTGCCATCAGCACTCCTGATATAATATTGCAGTTGAAAAGGGGGTTCTTTTCCTTCTACATTCTAACCTTATGCCAAACTCTGTTTCCAAGACCTTCGTTCAGTTCATACTAATTAAATACATTGCACGTTAGCTCACACTTAAGTACGGGCTGAAATCAGTTCATTGTGGTTTGGATGCAGCTGAAGCTACCCCCCATGAGGGGGAATGACAGTAATCTATCTTTATTTTCCCTCTTCTTTTAAGATTCAAATTAAAATAGTTGGGTGTTTTTTGCCAAACAAGTTCCATTCCAGGAGTATCTGGACCTGCTTGTGCAATCAGCTGTGCCAAAGGGACTCCATCAAAACCAGGCTGAGCTAGCGCAAAGCTCCTCAGTGATTCAGACAAAACTGTGTCTTGCCACATCAAGGCTGAGAATAACACTGGAGCACAGGACATGCTGGCACATGTCATATCCTGCAGCAACAGGAGCCCATCAGTGCTGTAGAGTGCTTTGCCTCCACCTCCCAGAAGGTGGGTGGTGGATGTGGGGGTGGTGCAAGCTGATGAGGCAAGTAGTAGAGCCAAAGCCAGTAGGTAGCAGGGCTGTTTTGCCATTCCAGAAAAGTGCTGGTCTTAGCAATCACCCTTCTACCTGTGTCTAAAGAGGCCCTGATGTGGTTTGTGAGGGTTCAACAAGGTATTGGTATGAACTTCACATTGTCTAGAGCAAGTGTGTGTGTGTTTAGTGGAAGCCGTGATTTCTGTGTTTCATTTCTAGGAAGGCTCATGCTGAGCTGTTGCACTGTTCGAGCAAATATCCTTCAGAAAGCTTTCCCATCAACTGGAAAATACCAAGTCTGGTTTCTGTCCAGCTGGCAACTACTATCCAAGTAGTAAAGCGTGAGCTGTGTAACTGGGTTGCAGAGGTTATGATTAAAAAAAGGCTCTTGAGATGTGAGCTACCCTGCATAACTGGGAATTTTCTTCTTCCAGCACTGAAACTGTTCCCTTAAGCTTCATTTGCAGTCTAGCATGACAGAAGTTCCTTTCTTTAGTAATTTCAGTGTGAAAGCTTCACCACTTGATTGACTTTCATGGAGCTACATTAGCGTTACTGGTGCATGGGTAAATTCATAGGAACAGAGACTAGAATTGGTCTGGGGTGTCAGTTTTATGGCTCATTGTTGGAACAGTGCAAAGGCCAAATTGCATTTTGTGAGTCCTCTTGGATTTAAAAGCTCTTCAAATCTAGACACACAAGGATTTGGAATGATTTTACTGGCCAAAAGCCTTGCAGTTGTCTCCGGCCTTTCTTTGCAGTGATTAAGCTCCTTTGGGAACATGGAAGTTGAACAATGCCACAGTGGCCAACAGAGACAGTTTTATCCACTTTTTGAGTAAAAAGTCACGAAGTCACCTCTCCCCAAATGAGGTGATGGAAGAAGAGTAGGGTTACTGTAGCTGGCATCTGCAAATCTTAGGCTCACAATGTCTAAGTGTTAAACAGTTGCTTAGCAGAATAGAATCATAGAACCATAGAATAGGAACCTGGAAGGAGGGAGGGACTTCTGTAGGTAAAGGTGCCAGGACACCTAAGTGTTACATAAATGATTTGTTCGATACTTGATAGCATGTGGATATCTGAAAGGGACCCCAGGAATTTTATGGATATCACATTCCAGATTCAAATCAAAGAGATGTTCTCTGCATTACTAGGCCTTTCAGTCAGGCCTGTGCTGGAACAATCAGTGGAGCCAGGGACAGAGCCTGGCTCACAGTTCTGTGTATCACTGAGCAAGCAGAAGCTTCCTCTCACACTGCTTGTGTTCTAGTTAGCATTTTGTCACTTCACCTGGAGGCACTCAGTGGGTACAAGCGTAGAATGTTGACAAACATAGCTCAGCTGACTGGCCACTGTACACATAACCACTCACTGCATGTCTGCTGTCTTGCAAGCCTGAGCCCAAGGAAGCAGACTGCTGAGCTCTGCCCGTGCTCGATGGTGACGACCAAATGACTTTTGGGCTTTGCTGCTAAGAACTTTCTGGCCAGATAAGTGAATGCATTAGGGAACTCTTCCCTATGAGTTTATTACATACTACTATTTATGGTTGAGAGTCTTTCTCCACGCAAAGCCAGCAGCATACAGATAGCTAAGGAGGTGAGGAGTCTTCCTCCTTGAAAACTGCTTTGTCTTGCAGTTGCCTAAACAGTCCTGCTGGTTGAATGGGTTTGGTACAAGTCAGTATCCCATTGCCTAAACATAGGTGTCTACAGCTATTTTAGATGTCCTACTTAACCAAGAGATCTGCACAAAGCTGGCATATAACACAGGCTCTGCATGGGATCTGTGCCTTTTTTTAGAGAGGCAGCGGCGGACCAGGGACAAAACCTGAGGGCACCACCACAGAGATGGCTGGGATCAGGGCACTGACTCCCAGCCTGTGTGCCTGCTGGCTCGGGACCATGCTGAGCACTGCGTTGACCACAGTGATAACTGACTGCTACAGCAAGACAAAGAAAGGGTTATACAGATATCTGCAGCAACTTGGCACATGTGTAACATTTCACAAAACCAAACCTTCCCCACATGAGTGGAGCACTAGGATACAGCAGTCAAATTCCCTGCCCTAGGGCAAGAAGAGTTCATTTTAGGATTTGCCTTTGATTTTCCATACTTTGTTCTTATGTTGCTTTCATAAAACCTTTATTGGTTTTCTTTTCTCCAGGAAAAATAAACATCTTAACCAGTAAACAGATCAGGCAGTGAAGCTGGATTCAAAATAATCCACTATGGGAAACCCAAAATATGAAAAAAAAAAATCTCAGCCAGAAATGTGATATGGTATTGAGTTGTTCAGTTCACATGTATCTGTACCACCAGCTCCTCTTGAGTGGGAACAGAGCTGTCCCACTGCATGCTGTATGCCCTGGAGAACTAGCGCTGCTGTAGCTCAAGCGATCACTTTTTGTACTCTGCAAAGAGATCTAATCCTGCTGACAGGAAGCTCCAAATCCCACGTGGACTCTGAATCCAGAGTCTTTGAATCTTGTTAAAACATGTGTTGCCTGAGTACTGCCGTGTCAGAAGTGGAACAACCTAAGGTGTTCTCTTCGATATTACAGATGGCTGGCTGGCAGGCTAAGGAGGGTGGGGTGAAAAAATGATGTTATTAATCATGGAGGAATAGGTAGGAATAGAGGTCATAGTGCTTTCTGCTAATTTCTTCATTTTCCACATTGCCTCCCAGAACATGAGGCCAGCAAAATACCCACAGGGTTCTTGAAATTTTAGTTTATTCTTACTTGACTCGTGCTGTACTCTGCTGAATCAGAGTGAAGTTCTGAAACCAGGGATTTTATCTTGTGCCTCTAATTCTGTTCCCATCTGAGGGCCAGCCAGTGATGCTCCACCAACATGATCTGTGGCAGGCACTCTCTTTTCTCAAAACAAAGAGGAATCTGGCAGCTAAGCTGTTTTACAAACTTGAGTATGATTTGCTGTTAAAATTTGCTGTATGGCCACACTGAAATGAGAGAGGAAGGTGGTGAGGCTTGAAATTGTTTTGGCAGTGGGCAGTACCACAGTCTTCTGCTAGATACTGCTATCTCCCGCACAAACCAGCTGCTCACCTCACCGGGAGAGGCAGTTCAGTTGTCCAAGCAGAAAGGAGGTGACAGTCTAGGTGACCTGACTCAACTACAGATTTCTTTAAAGCCCTGTAGATACGTATCTCAATGTTAATCTTCACAAGTTGTTCACGCGGAGTCTGATGAGTTCCCA